TAAGACTAGAACTAAGTTATCAGAAATAATCATCACGCACTTGAATGTGACAACCAATGCCAAATTGCTATAAAGCCTTAATGCTTACTCTTGACTTCTGTAGTGTCTGATCATGGAGCAGGAACAAACTGTCCATGGGCCGGCAGCCATCTGTGAGCCACACTACGAGTAGCACTGGCCTACATGCTTCTCTCTCCTGGGGGTGTGGCAGAGGCAACAGCTCGGCTCTTGGCTGCTATTAGCTCTGGGTTCTTGCACATTCCCTTGTGATCCCCCATAACCTCTTGCCTCTTTACAATTAGTCCCTTGATAAATAAGTTCTTTAACTATCCTTCTAGGAAGTGCCATCTGCCCGCTCAGGCCCCGGCTGATTCTGCAGTGTTTTCCTACCTGTGCAAGTTTTTAAGAATGTGGGCAGCGTTAGAGGCTGTGTGGGTAGAAGGACAACAATGTGACAGCAGCCTGGTTTTGGAGCCCAGCTAAAGAGGCTGCACTGTCTCTTGTAGACCGTAGTCAGCACTGGAAGCATCTCAGCAGGCAGGGGACGCAGCTAGAGCTGTGTTTTAGGTGGAGCACTTGACATGGTGTGGTGCTGAGAGTGCACCTTCAGGGAGCACAATCTGTGGCAGAGAGCCTGACTGGAGGTTGCTGAGTCCATCCCGACCAGAAATGGAGAGCCCTAAGCTAACACTGCATGTGGAGTTGGAAGGCAGAGGGTGTTCAAAAGGTAGACTCTACCAGCCAGAGTGATGGGTTGTAAGCAGGAGTGAAGGGGGAAATCCAGGCTCTCCAGATACAGCTTGGAGGATCCGTGGATGGTTTCGTAGGGTTGGATGATGAGATGGACAGGGGTACACAGGTCAGAGATGAATTCTCTATCTTTCACTGGAGTGCCCATTTCCTGTGACTTTCTCATGCAGTTTGTCTGTTGGCTGCCTGGAGGCAGCAGTGGTCTTGCTTTTAAGAGGTGTGGGCTCTGGGTCCCAGTGGACCTGATCTGGTCTCAGCCCCATCATTCCTCCAAGGGAAAGTTCAAACTGTTTAGCTTCCTCCTTCTCTAAATGGGAATAACTTCCTCAGAGGGTTGTCAGGATCTTAAATGAGATAAGGCGTGTAAACATGCCAGCACAATAGGCGAATACTGGTTATTATTGTTATTAGAAAAGGCAAACTTGACCTTGCCCGCTAGGGCTATTTTGAGTTAGCTGGCTCTGGCTCTCCTTAAGTCACCCCAGCTCCTCCTACTGCCACACACATACACACACACACACACGCACGCACGCACACAGCAGAGGAATCAGGAGCCGTCTTCTGCCTTTCTGCTCTTCATCCTGGCAGGCTTTTCCTGCTGGCCTTGTTTCTGATGGGCCAGTTATAGTGCAAAACTGTTCCAGACCTGACCCTTCATCCAGGTGCCAGTGGCCCGCCAAGAATCAGCCTTGCCTTGTTACACCTCCATCAGCAGCACAGCCCAATTGCAGCTTCATCACATTAGGAGGTGGCTTCACCACATTATGATTTTCTCTGAGTTTGGGAGCAAAGGCGAGTTGGGGAGGCCAGGCAGGTTTCCACACAAAGTTGCCCAGGAAGGACAGGTAGATGGGGCAGTGTCTGGGAGGCAGCATGGCCCAGTGGTTAGGTGTGGAGGCCGTGGAGCCAAACTGCCTGATTTGAATCCCACTCTGCCAACTTACTAGCTGGGCCTCCTTGGGCAGGTAGCTTAACCTTTCTGTGCTTCAGTTTCTTATCCGTTAAATGAAAATGAGAATAACAATAACTGCCTCCCAACAATGTTAGGGAGTATTAAATGAGTCTTAATCCCCTTAAATATCTCACAATAGTGCCTGGCACAGAGTAAGCCCTCATGTTAGCTGTTCTTCTTATTTTGTTGCTATTAGTAGTAGTAGTAGTAATAGTAGTAATAGTGTGGTCTGCTTCCCAGGAGAAGGTGGCTAAATATTGAGAAGATTTCTGGGCTTGTAGTACATCTTTGGTGTCCTGGGGTGGCTGTGTTCAATGCAATCATGAATGTGGAAATCTATGTTACACAACAGGTATTCAGTAAACAAGGGTGTCCATCCACCTCTCAAGCGGACATGCTCTTCTATCACTGCGACCCAGCAAAATGGTGGAGTGCGGTGGTTCAGAGAAGACTGAAGGTGGCCTCCCTGGGATTTAATCCCAGCTCCGCCATGTTATCTTTGCTTAACACTTCTGCACCTCTGTTTCCCCATCTGAAAAATCTGGATTATGATGGCAGCTGTTTCGGGGAGTTGCTGTAGGCCTAAGTGAGTTGGCATAGGGCACTTAAAACAGAGCATGGCACACAGTTACCAGCTGGTGTTTGCTCTTGCTGCTGTCACTGTTCTGGGTGTGCTTAGCTCCTGCCTTCTCAACTTACATCATTAGCCCTGAGGGGAAAGGAACGAGGCCTGGAGGACTCGAGTGTCCCCTGCAGCGATGGCCATACAGGGCTCCTTAGGCCCTGCCCAGCAGATGGCCCAGCAGGCAGGGCGTCCTATCAGTAGAGGAGCATGAGCCACAGCAGGCTCTAAGCTGCTCCAGGGATGAAGGTGGTTGACCAACCACAGGCCAGGGTGAACTTTTCACTGAAATGAGGAAAAATGCTTCCACGTCTGTCACACAATGAGGAACAAGCCCAGACCATGGACCCAGAAGCTAGTGTTAAAAGTCTCAACTGCTGCATACTAGCAGTCCAAGCTTGTGACCTCGGGCAAATCACTTACCCTCTCTGAGTCTCGGCCATTTCTTCTCTGTGAAATGGGAGTACTGATCACTGCCTTTACAGGACTGTCATGATGCCCAGGTGAAACTGGCTCTGAAGTCTTCAGATAGACCTGTGGGGCTGGCTGCAGGGTCCTTGCTGGATCCACCCCTCCTAACCCCTCTGGCCTCTTCTGCCCCAAACACTGTGCTAGGGGTGGGGCTGTGCATTAGTCCATTTTCACGCCACTGATAAAGACATACACAAGACTGGAAAATTTAAATAAAAAAAAGAAAAAGGTTAAATGGACTCACAGTTCCACATGGCTGGGGAGGCCTCACAATCATGGCAAAAGGTGAAAGGCATGTCTTACCTGGAGGCAGACAAGAGAAGAGAGCTTGTGCAGGGAAACTCCCCTTTATAAAACCATCAGATCTCATGAGATTTATTCAATATCATGAGAATAGCATGGGAAAGACCCGTCCTCATGATTTAATTACCTCCCACCAGGTCCCTCCAACACACGTGAATTGTAGAAGCTACAATTCAAGATGAGATTTGGGTGGCGACACAGCCAGACCATATCAGTTGGGCCTTGGGGGCTCAATTTCCTCCAGTGTGACTTCCCTAGCAAAAGAGCAGGTGGGCAGGTGAGGAGGGAGGCAGCAGCCACTGGGGTTGCCCACTGACGGGATGTCAATATCTGCCTGTCAGTTCCAGTCCTCTGTGTGAGGATCCCAGGTGGAAGTTTTCAGACTTCAGTATTTCATATTTGATATCTTAATTAAGTTGCCCAGCTCTAGGTTTGAGGGGTTGATGGGAGCTGATAGAGCCCTTTCATTCTCAAGTAGTAGGGAATAGGAGAATGGGAGTGGAGGAAATACCAAGAAAGCTACACAGTGGTACCTTCAAGCCTGGGTATTTCTTCAGGAGTGTTTATGGAAGTGACACAGGCATCATCTCTGGAATCAGCAGAAGGCATGATACCTCAAAAAGGGTCTTAGAGTTCAGGGTGTGCATCCAGGCTTAACAAGGTCACAAGGTTCTAGAGTTCAGAGTGAGCAGGTCCAGGCAGGAGAGGATCAGCCACAATGTGGGGAGAGTGCTTCCCCATCAGACCCTCCCCTAAGGTGGAAGGAGCAGTTAAAGTCTTCTACTACAGAAACTCTTCCCCTAGGTTTCCTGGCTGAGCCTGGGCTACTATAACTAGGACCAAGGTATCATCCCTTTCTTCTGGGATGCAGAAGTGCCCCCCAGTCCTTCATACTGCACTGTCCCTCCACCCCTAAGCGGCAGGCCCCCTTCTCCTGCCTCCACTCCTCTTCTGCTTAGACCCTCTCTCCCTCAGTCTGCAGCAGCAAATGCTCTCCCTCCTGAGTCATGAGAAAGCCCTTTGGAGGTGAGGGTGGTGCTGGCCTCTCCAGGCAGGATCTTGTCTCTGACACAGCACAGCACCTGGTCCAGAAAGAAGGCTCAGAAAGTGTTGATGGGGATCCCTGTGAATCTCAGAGGTCACAGGAGGGCTGGAGGGAGCCTTGGAGTGGGCTGACACAGGGTCAGGGTTGACCTCTCACCCCGCCCTTCCCAGAGACAGAGGGAATACTTGTAGCAGGTATGAGGGAGGAGGGTAGCGGGTGTCCCTTTGTATAATTTCTGCTTCTTCACACTTTAACCTCTCTGCCTCTCTGTCTCTCCCTCTGCCTGTCCCTGTGTGTCCTCTCAACTCTGCTTGAGTCTCTCCCCCTCCTCCTCTTTCCCTCCACCTGTAAATGCCTCCCCTTTTCTCTGCTTTCAACTACCCCCCTTCTCATTCCCTTCATCTTCATACTCTTTGTCTTTTTGTGTTTTTGTTTCCATATATCTGGATTTTCTCTCACCCGGTCTCTGACACATTCTCCATCTATACCTCTCCCTGACGCTCCATCCCTGAATCTCCCTCTCTCACCTTCCTTTCCACCCCAACCTGTCCCTTGGTTCCCTTGTCTGGGTCTTCCTCCTCACATCTCTTTCTTCTCATTTCCTATACCCTATTCCTGTCACCTGCCTGCCCCTGTCCCTCTCTCCTCCCCTCTTCTCTGTCTCTTCATCTCTCTTCTTCTGTGTCTCTTCACCCCTGTCCCTTACTTTCCCTCTGCCCTATTCTCTCTGTGTCCCTGTGTGTGTCTTGGCATCCCTCCCCCTCCCCCTTCACTCTGTTTCTCCCTCTGGCCCCTCACCCTCACCCTGTCCTTCTACCCCACCACCCCTCACTCTTTGTGTCTACCTCCCTCCCCAGGATGATCCCAGCCTCCAACAAGGCCTTCGTGGTCAACAACTTGGTGTCTGGGACCGGCTACGACTTGTGTGTGCTGGCCATGTGGGATGACACAGCCACAACACTCACAGCCACCAATATCGTGGGCTGCGCCCAGTTCTTCACCAAGGCTGACTACCCGCAGTGCCAGTCCATGCACAGCCAGATACTGGGCGGCACCATGATCCTGGTCATCGGGGGCATCATCGTGGCCACGCTGCTGGTCTTCATCGTCATCCTCATGGTGCGCTACAAGGTCTGCAACCACGAGGCCCCCAGTAAGATGGCAGCGGCCGTCAGCAATGTGTACTCGCAGACCAATGGCGCCCAGCCACCGCCTCCAAGCAGCGCGCCTGCCGGAGCCCCGCCTCAGGGCCCGCCCAAGGTGGTGGTGCGCAACGAGCTCCTGGACTTCACCGCCAGCCTGGCCCGCGCTAGTGACTCCTCTTCCTCCAGCTCCCTGGGCAGTGGGGAGGCCGCGGGGCTGGGACGGGCCCCCTGGAGGCTCCCACCCTCCGCCCCGCGCCCCAAGCCCAGCCTTGACCGCCTGATGGGGGCCTTCGCCTCCCTGGACCTCAAGAGTCAGAGAAAGGAGGAGCTGCTGGACTCCAGGACTCCAGCCGGGAGAGGGGCTGGGACGTCAGCCAGGGGCCACCACTCGGACCGAGAGCCACTGCTGGGGCCGCCCGCGGCCCGGGCCAGGAGCCTGCTCCCCTTGCCCTTGGAGGGCAAGGCCAAACGCAGTCACTCCTTCGACATGGGGGACTTTGCGGCTGCGGCGGCGGGAGGGGTAGTGCCCGGCGGCTACAGTCCCCCTCGGAGGGTCTCGAACATCTGGACGAAGCGCAGCCTCTCTGTCAACGGCATGCTCTTGCCCTTCGAGGAGAGTGACCTGGTGGGGGCCCGAGGGACTTTTGGCAGCTCCGAGTGGGTGATGGAGAGCACGGTCTAGGTGGGGGTGGGCATGCTCCCTTTCCTGCGCGCAGGGTGGGAGAAGAAGGGGAAAGAATCTCACTGGCAAGTGTTTGTGGAGTTTCCATGGTGATGTTTACATCCAGGGACGGTTTCCTCTCCCTGTCAATGGCCTCGTGTCCCCCCCCCAACCCCCAACACCCATATCACCTCCCCACCACCCGGCCGGGGTGTGCTCAGGGAATGCGGACTCGCTCAAATACCGGACTGAGCCCTGAGTGTTTGGAAAGGCGAGACTCCGCCTTTCTAATCACAAATGTAGCCTACAAGCAAGCGGCTTTGGATTGCTTATGGGTCTAGTGTTGTTTTTATTTCTTAATTTATTTTTTTCCATTTCCCAGACTCCTCCTCTTCATTCACACGGATAATCGAGAGTTAATCGTACATATGAATGCGTGTTCCCAGCAGCCCTGGTACTGGGTAATTGTTGCCAATTGACAAGAGGAGGGAATTATTCTGTTTCCACACTTGTTTGGGGGAAGACTGTGGGGTTCCCTGCCCAGAGCTCTCATTACTCCCAACCACCCCCACACCCGACACTGGAAGGGGTGAGTGACTGACCCCTAATACCTGACCTAGTTTCCTTTGCTTCTCAATCATGACATGCCACACCTATCACAGAAGTTTGAACCAGAAGAGTAACTTCCTGGGTTCTTATGTGTGGGGAGGGAGGAGGGCTTCATGTTGTAGGGCACAAGGGATCTTAACTTCCGGAGTTGCTTTGGGCTTGTTGCCACTCTTTCTGGGAAGCTGGCATGGAAAGTCCCCCTTGAGCATGTGGCAGGCCAGGAGGGCTTCTCTTAAGGAAAGCAGTGTGGGTGGCAGAAAGAGCAGTGGACTTGGAGTCCAAAGCTCATGTGTCCATAGTCACATGAAGAGCCTGCTGAGTAACTGGGGCAAGACCCTTTTATCTGTTGGCACCTGAATTTGCCACTTTGCAAAAATACTGGGATTGTATTAGGTCTCCAGTCCCTTTCCAGTTCTATGGGCCTATTAATTCTTCATGACTCTAGATGTTAGGCCTTTTCGCTTAGTGATACCAGAAGCACAAGCTGGTTACAGCAGTCCCCGTTCTTTTTACTGGGCACAGAGAATTCTAGAAGCCTTGGAGGGGGGAAGTTGAATCTTTTTAGAATAATAGGCTTTTGAAGCTTGGGGAGGTCTTTGCAATCATCCCATCTTTAACCCTCCCTCTCCCTTCCACAGAGCATAAGGGAATTGCCCAAGGTCACACAGTGAGTTCATGACCAGGTCAGGGCAGGAGCCAAGGCCACCTGCCTCCTGGCAGTGGTGTTTGGGATCCATGACCCTGTTTTCACCCTGCCTAGGGCATTTCTATGTCCAAAGGATGCCCCATGTTTGTTCTTTAAGAAAGTGGCTCAAGGTGGGATGAGGGGATGCCTGCTCTTGGTTTCTTGAGGAGGGTCCATCCTTGGAAATTACAGGGTGGAATGGGAGGGGTGCATAGGCTCCTTTCCATCTAGGGATAACCCCTCCCTGCCAGACAGTGGCAAGAGAAGGGGAAGAGGAGATGTGCCCCCAGAGAACCTGCTGTAGACAGATTGGAATGACCTTCCCCTGTATCCCTGTCCGGTGTCTACTCATCAGCAACTCACTACCTCTCCCTCAGTCTCTCCAACTCATTCTTTCCTCTCCCAACTCCTTCCATAGACCTCTATTTTCCCTCTTTTGTTCTTCCTTCTTCCACTTGCCATCCACACAGCCCACAATGCATACAGGCAAGACCATTCTGGGCCAAAAAGTTCCAATGGCCTCAGACCTGGAGCTGAGCTGCAGGCCCCCAACCCCACTCTGGAACACACAAGGAGGGATTGCAACTGTCTATGCAGAATTACCTTTGGCTCTAGTTCCAGAGTCTCCAAATCCCAGGCCTTCCTCCTTCCTCACTTCTCCCTCCCCTCTCTTCTCTTCATTCTTCTTCTTCTTCTTCTTCTTCTTCTTCTTTTTTTTTTTTTTTTTTTCCTGTTACTCTCTGCCTTTCCCAGTCCCTTTCTGGTCCTGACAAGGTCATTAACAGACCAGGCCAGTTCCTCCTGAGACCTCAAGTTATAACAATTTTCCAGGCCAGTCCCAGGGCTGGAGCACATCCCTTCTATGGTCACAGAAGCACCCACAGAATTGGGTAACTTGAAAGGAAGTCTCTTCCACCCTTTCTCTTTTCCCTTCCTGTTTTTTTCCTCTTCTCTTTTATCCCTCCTCATCTTTCTCATTCATCCTTTCAAACTATAGCCATTGTGGAAGTGGTCTCAAATACCAGCTTTCTTTTTTGCCTTTGGATTCAGACACACAGAGGGAAGGTGGTGAACAGCGGAAGGAACCAACTCACTGTCTATTCTCATCAGTGGCTCCGAGTTCTGTCGTGACATGATATGTACTTGCTCTTGTGTTTGTCATGTTTCTGACTTGGAGTTTTGGAAAGCAGCATCCCTGTGGTCAGAATATAAATGCCAATCTTCTCCTTTGCTAAAAAAAATGTACAGTAAAATGTACAGTTTTAAAAACAACCACTAACCACACTCCTTGGGTGGGAGAAAAAAAAAGAACATTCTTATGTCTGTGAATGTCTGCTGTTCATTTCTCTGGAAACTCTGGGGTTTTCTAAAGATGGCTTTGAAGTGGCATTTTCTCTTGCACCTGTGTTTGTTACTGCCTGGTGGGAGCCTGCTTCTTGCCAAGTTCGTGTATACGGTGGGGGAATCTTCTGAAATAATAGAGAATGGGATCATCCTCCCAGGGTAGAGAAAGGTAGAGAAATCTGAAGTGAAGCTTCAGGCTAAGAAAAGAACAGTCTATCCCCAGCTGTCCCGACTGTCCTACCTGACATCTCCATTCTCTGATGTGCCAGCCCTACCTACTTTTTCCTGGACTGTGGTCACCACAGCGCCTGACAACTAGGGGCATGTGGGTATCTTCTACCCATTTTGGTTGAGCCCTGGATAGTATTTTTTTCAAAAGGGTCTTTTACTGGGAAACCGTGGGAGAACAAACCAAAACCCAAACCCAAGATATAGAAACAAACGTGCTTCTGGAACACAGCTTCCCAACCTTGTCTTTTCTAGTATCTAGATCAGTAATGTCCAATAGAATAAAATGTGAGCCACACTGTAATTTTAAATTTTCTAGTAGCCATGTTGAATCAAACATAAAGAAACAGGTAGAATTAATTTTAATCTTATATTTTAACTCAATATATCCAAAATATTATTGTAACATGTAATCACTCAAATTATTAGTAAGTTATTTTATAGTATTTTTTGGTACAAAGTTTTAGAAATCTGGTTTGTATTTTACATGTATGGCATATATCAATTCAGATGAGCCCTCTTTAAAGTATTTTATATGTATAGCACATATGAATTCAGACTAGCCCTCTTTAAAGTACCCGAGAGCCATATGTGGCTAGTACTGGCCACTGTACTGGACAGTGTGACTCTAGACATACAATTGACTTGAAAGCACAGCTTAGAAGAGGAAGGAAACTGACACTTGTTGAGTACCTACAGCTTCCAGATACTGTGCTTGTTGCTTCACATATGTTTCTCACTGAATCATCACTAAAGCCTTTTTAGGTAGATAGTATTATGCCCATATTATAAATGAAGGGACGGAAGCTCAGAGGGGTTAAGTAACTTGCCCAAGGTCACACAGTTAAGTCTGGCTGCAAAGCCTTAGTTCTTCCCATGACATTACACTGCCTCCCCTATCCTTTCTTCTTCCCATCAACCTGTTAATAGATTGTATTTTATATTGACTGAATGATTCACGTTTGTAGCCTAATCGGGAAACCCTTGATTAGCCTAAGATCTGCTAGAATCCTCAGAATGTTAACTCCAGGCAAGAGAACCTTGGTGAATCGGTTCCTTCTGACCATACACCGGCCTTTCTGGCCCTCCTTGCCTTAAAACACGTTCCCTCCCCCAGCCAGGAAAATTCCTCAGGATTCAGACTGCACTCCCCACCCCACCCTGTGGCCACCCCTTCTCCCCTCTTGGTGACCTCTAGGAGGTCACTTGTTGAATGAACCTTCCATCTCCAGTCTTGTCTGGGCTCCTCTGCCCCAGGAGCCTATAACTTCTTCCCCCTAAGACAAAAAGCCTGACATCAGCTTGCTCCAGAGACAAAACCCATCTTCTTGCCTCTTTCTATTTTAATACCCTGTCCCTATCAGAGATGATACCTACCCAGATCCTCTTTCCTGATATACAGAAGCCTCCAGCTCTTCGATCTTTTGCAGAAGTGAGATAGCTGATACAATATTTGCCTAGTTGATTATTAGGCTTTCTGGAAAAACAGTTCGAGCCCTTTCCCTACGTTCTTGATAATGACATATCCCTCAGGTTTCCCTCAAGAGAATTTTTTATTTTTTCATCGTTACAGTGTTGAAATTCCAAAATACCTTAGGAACACTTCTTTGTTAAGGGATATAATTGTCAGCCAGGTTAGGCAACAGTCACTGTCTCAGGTTTCCCCCTTCTCAAATGCAAAGTAACTTTTCTTTAAAAGTCTGTGAGTCTTGATTTTTCGTAAGTACAGCCTGAGTACTTCTGTGTCTTCTGTTCTCAATGTGCCTGCAGTGAAGGTCTCAGGGCTTCAGCAAGCTGGGTGGGGCTTCCTCTGTTCTTGCAACCATTGGGATTTCTGCAAACTGCTGCCAGAAAAATAGACATGCTTATTCAAAAGAAGAGACTATTGGCAGGCAGCACTCAAAATCTGAATGCACAGTTTTAAAGATTCCACTTAGAGTATCAAAACCAGCCTTTCCATGTGACGCAGTTGGCAGCAAGAAACATTTGTTGTGACAAGAAGGCTTCTCACAGGTAAATACCTGAGGTTTCCACCTTTGCATAATAGAATCAGGCCCATCCAGGTTAGTCCCCCAGTATCTAAAAGGAACACTGTCACTTTCACAGTTTAAAAATATCTATTTGTGCTTTCAGCCCTTAAACCAAAGGTTGTAGCTTCCATCATCTCAGTTAAGGTTCTGTACCTCACAGTCAGTCAGTGTTTACAAGGCTCATGGTTTCCCTTCCCCAAAGCTTCTGTCGGAGGGAAACTGGCATGTTTTCCCCAGACCAAAGAGAGGAGCTAGCTTTTACCTTTAAGGCTATCCTGCGACCCCTATCATAGCTATTTAGGAACTTCTGACAGGTTGAATGATCTTTCCCCATATTCTCATTTTGTATAACATGTGGCATCTTTCTTTTGCTCACCTATTCTGAGGAAGTAGGCCCAGATTACAGGCTCTTCCTGGGTTATTTTCCTGCTATTGTTGGGATAATTGATCTTCTGGTCCCTTTAGCCAACAGCTGAATGTGCTCCTGGCGATTGGAGCCAGAATTCTCCTCCACCATCTCATGCTGGAATCTGTCTGGGATTGGAGCAAGGAAGATCTCATGATCTAGTCCTTTCCAAGACATCAACAGTCACACACTCGGTTTCCTACTGCTGAGACAGTGGAACTGGAATTTCACCCATCTCCATGGGATCCCCAAACCCATCTGGCCCACAGTCAGTCAGCCCACTGACCAACCTCCCACAGCCCTAGCCCATCCGTCCAGGCTATCCATCTGGTTAGTTGGTGATGAGCACACCCCCTCTTCTCCTGCACCTCCTCTGTAACATGTGTTCAGCGGTGCTCCCTAGCACACCCCACAGCAGCACTAACATTCATATACTTTGCAAGGATGAGTTTTCTTTCCCTTGAATCTCCTAGGCTACATCCAAGATATCCTGTTTTCCAAACCATGGAGACCTCTGTTAGCTGACCTATCTGACATTGTTTCCACTTTGCTGTGAAGTAAAACCTCAGGGGTCTACATCTGTGCCCTCTGTCGGATGGCAAAATCCGTTTGTGCTCATTCAGCATGCTCTTGCTGACCTGCTGTGTGCCTAGCACTGTGCATGGTATCAAGAGAGATAAAAGTCAAAGTAAAAGACACTATGCATGCCTTTGAGGGCCTTACACATTACCCTGAAGGACAGGGACATACACTGATGCTTTAGATCTCTGGTTATCAAAGATTGGTCTGTTTTCACTAATTTCAAGGTAACTTATAAATCTGGCAAAACTACTATCCAAGAAAAGATGAACAGATAGATTGGCCAAAGGCCATGCAACATAAGATGGCCCCTGTGCTTGGAAGAATTCACCAGATTTTAAGTTCCAAAATCTTGAGTCACTTTACAGAAGAGGAAATTAAGACCTGGTATGGAAAAGTGACTGGCTTTGGATCTAACAGGGGCACATTAAGGACTCGGGTCCTGCGCCTGGACAAGTAGGGGTTGAAGGAAGCATCTCTGGCTGTCCTAGGAGCTTGAGAGGGGGTGTGGTGGAGGGAACAAAGCAGGCCTGGAAGAAGGGTAGTTGCAGAGAACTAGAGGGTCCTGAGTAACCCAAGGCAGGTGCAGTTGCTCCTGAGGAAAAGGGGCTGTTTAGTTTGGGGGATCTGGGTTAAGAGCCTGTTTCTTGGCCACAGTTTCCTTTTTGGTAAGATATCAATGGTAAGTATCGACTTCAGTAAGTATGCTTCTGTAGTACTATGTAGTTATGTAGTTATACAGATCACATATTGGATTGGAAAAGGCAGCATAATAGTCATTAGTATTAATGATATGCATCATTTAAATTAATATAAATTGTAGCATATTCATGATAATATTACATATGTTAAGCTCATAGACTCTCAAAGCTGGCAAAAGCTATCAGAAGTCGTCTACTCCAGCCTCCCTCAATGGGTATTAGGATCCCCTGTTCAATATCTATTCAAGCTCTTATTAATCTTATTATAAGCCAAATTACGCATGATGAATTTCAGGATTTACCCAAGGCAGGGAGTAGCTCTCTGTACTCTAATGGGACCATGGCTCCATATTCCTGGTGGGCCCATGTGAATCCATCATTCTTGACTTCATGGGAAATCCAGAGTCCAAACATCAAGCAACTCCCAAAGACTGCTATGGTCAAAATAGTGTTTAAAAAACAGGTACAGAGCCAGGGTCCCAGCTGGGAAAATCTCAAGAGGTTCGATATTCCCTTGCCAAATCAGTACTGGTCTCCATGATTTAGAGCAAAGAAAGGAGGCAGGGAAGGGGCAGAGAGTACATGGTAACCGCTGTAGCCCCTGATGCCCTGAATGTTCTGACGTACACAACAGTCCCCATAATAGGTGGAAGCACCTGGAAAATTCTAGACTTCACATCTGGGCTGAGGATAGCCATCCTGCCCCTCACTGATTGGTTCCCTAATCCTTCTCACCCTTCATCTTTGTTCCAGGATTGGCCCAATAGCCAAAATCTAACATTCAGTACTCTGGAATGACACAAATGCTGCCACCAAAAACCTCCCACTGTTCCCTTCTAGGATGGGAAGACTGCCAGGTACCAGGAAAATCACTCAGTGAGAGCCTGACTCTGATCAGAGGGCTGAGAGTGGGCCAGAGGCTCTCCACTTGAGAAGGGAGGTGAGCTCTTCCCAAGGGGTGGGGGGATGGTAGCCCATTGACCAGCCCTTTCTGCCTCCCTTTAATACCTGGGCCCCCTCTAGTCCAAAGGCCATCCATTTGCTTGAGGTAGGGAGATTAAAATTCGTCCCCAATTTGGTCTTCTGAATCAACACACTGATCCTAATGTGAGTGAAAAAAAAAAATGTTAGAGAAATGGTTTCATCCTAAGGTCAGAGAGGGTTGGTTGAAGTGTGCATGGCTGGACATGTTCCTTGGGTAGGGCTGATGCTTCACAGTTTGTCTGGGGAGAACTGGGGTGTGCCAGGACATATAATTGCAGATGGGGGGACTCACCTACATGAAGAGGTTGGCTTCTGTGTTTAAGGTAAATAGAGAAGACTGTGGGTCACTCCAGAGGTCTGGAAGCAGGCAGGGAGGACCTCAACAGTGAAAAAGTGCAGAAGCCCAATCCTTAATTGGTCTCCATGCTTTTAAGAGTCCTGGTGAGGTTCCTTCTTCTAAGGAATCATGCAAACTGCTCTGGGCTAGCTCAGCTTTGATTTGCGAGGGAAGCAGAGGCATGGAATTGTCTTGGGGCTTTTTTCTTGAGGCTCAAGGTCTTCCATCCTTTCTTAGGTTACAGAAAATGAGAGTTTTTGCCAGACATGAGAAAACTAGAGAAAGGGTGCCACCTGTGCTTTCTACCCCAAACCAAAGATGAAGGGGCTCAGACAAGAGTGCCTGACTCCAGGGGTGAACAGCTGCCTGCATTCAGCTTTGTCTGCAGAATGGTAGAAAAGAAACAAAACTGGAGACATTTATATGTAGAGGTATACAAAGTCAGCAGCACAGTCAAAAAGATTCTATAGCATCTCAACATTCCAAACATTTTTTTAGCATGGATGATCGTTTCTTCCATTCTTTATCAAAAGCCTGATTTCTTCATGTTACAAATGTTTCCAAACTGAGTATCAAAGTCATTTATCTGGCTTAGTTTTTATAGAGCTTGTGGGACAGAAGTAGGTCTCAAACTTTAAATCTTCTGACCCCAGAACTGAAGTTCCCTTCACACCACATCCCCGCACTCAGGCATTACAGTGATGGCTGGCTGCCACAGCAGGAAAGAGGGCAAAACGTGAGGCTAAGAAGGCAGCCCAGAGCTAGGAAAGACAATGTCCATGCAAGTGGGAGGAGAGTCAGGCCTGGGAGAGGCAGACAAAGGGCACCGGACCATGGAGAGTTGAGAGGAGGCTGAAGAGAGGAGCTCTGCCAGAATTCTCCATGGACAGGAGGCTCTCTCAGCTCTCCAGTGCCAATCTAGCTGGGACAGGCATCAGAGATTATTGTCCATTGTGACCTGAGCAGGAAAGATGGAGTAAGAGGGATTTAGGAAGGGATAAGTAGGAAAGAGTGGGGTGTGGCAGAATCAGAAGAGTCTGGTTGCGGGGACACAGCTGTCCAGGTCCAGGCTATGGGCCCGCCTACTCACTGTCCGTGGAGCAACATGCTGGGTAGGGCTCTACCTGGAGTGACCCTCTACCTAGTGAAACCAGGAGGCAAGTAGGGACCAACTCGGAGTCATGGTCATTTTTAAGATTTGTATTTGTCCTATCTGCTTTGAGGCTCCAGTTCCTTCCTGTATGAAGGCAAAGACTTCCATCCCTCATGTAAGAATAGAGGCACACTGGGAAATCTTGAGGCCTGGTGAAGGAAGAAAGGACTGGCTTCTCCATGAATACTGGAGGTCTCATGGCACAGTCCCACTCATTAGATCCACTTGTCTCTTCCAGGGAATGACTTGGAGACTAAATGGGTGGAGAATGGCTGAGGGTAATGAGCCCCAGCCCTTCTAGATTGTTCCAGAGTGTTAATCGTATTGTTAACCAGTCATATCAAGTCTCCTTGGGAGGAAGGGTGTTGTACAGAAGGGTGGGACTCTTTCAGAAAATACCATGGTATCTAGATTGGCCTTGAACCAGCTAGAGAAGGGAGAAATAATGAGCACAGGACTCAGGATTCTTTCCCCTTTTGGTTGTGATGCAGCATGAACAGGAAAGCTCTCAGCGGAATAGAAAGGACTATTCAAACAGGGAAAAGGAAACTCATGTTATTTACCAAATACTGTAGTAAGCATCCCATATTTCTCATGTGTGTTATTCCTCATGAGCCTCACCCATCCTTCTGACATAGGGGTTGGATCATTCATTTTACAGCTGAGAAAACTGAGACATGCAGAAATTAAGCAGCCTGCTGAAAGTCATACAACTAGTTAGGGGAAGAGCTGGATAACTGCTTAATAACTAGAGTTACTCCTAAGTTACCTAAGGAACAGCAAGGGGCATTAGAATTTCAGTGAATTTTCTGGAAGGAATCGTACATGTGAGCAATGAGGTTAAAAAAGTGAGCCTAAGATTAAAAAGTAGAAGCCATGAAGATATGCACTGGGCAAATAATATTGACTTCTCTGTGCCTGTCCTAGTGCCTCATATGGTAAGAAATAAAAGGTTGCTCTTAAGGTCCTTAAAATTTGTCATCTCAAACTAAGCACTAAATAATTCCCAGATTACTGCTGCCTTTTCTAAAATGTAGCGGTTGGATGGAGAGAGGAGGAGTAAGGTGGCAGGCCCTAACTACAACTGCACAGAATAGGTGGCTCTCTCCCCAAGGAAGGCAAGGGCACCCCATGTCCATTCCTTCAAGTGCTGAGTATTTTTCCTGGTTTCAATATCCTCAAATGTAAAATGGTTCTGGTATCTACCTCAAAAGAGTATTGTGTTTGTAAATTAAATAGCCCTATACAGTTATACAAATAACAAATAACCTGTAGGATTTGAGAAGTCACCAACTCATGATGATTAATGTAATGGATCACCGATAAAACTATTAAAATTACAAGACATTAATGGTCATTACACGGATATTAGGTCTGGAGTCTCAGAGCTGGAAAATACCAGAAATCTCCAAATAAGCCTTCCTCAGCTCATCAATATCCCTGCCAGGTGGTGTTATTCTGATTACAAATTATTCCTTAGTTTTAATTCATAAATCCTCTAAGGAAGAGAAAACATGATATTCTCATGCCTTGTGCTTCAAGGAGCTCAGTACTTGATTGTGGCTCCAGGTTTGTACATATTCCACCGTTCCTACTCCTTAAAAGACCCCACAGGCATAAGAGAAAACTGCCAGTATCTGCTGTGGTCACTACTGAAGTAGAAACAGCCAACCAGGGTCCTTGCTGGGAAATATTCGGGAAATCATAGGTGTACGTTGTTCTCTTGCCAAATCAAGTCGGGTCTCCATGACACAGAGTGGAAGGAAAAAGGGGAAGGGCCACAGGGACACTGGCCAACTGTGAGGCCCCAGTAAATGAACGTTGCATCCTGCTATGAATTTCACTACCAGTTGTGCAGTCCAGGACAGTTGGCTACCACCTGCCAGACGCACAGCATATGCCAATGATGGGGCACTCTCTTCACATTCTAAGCAGGATACCAGGACACCACCACCCTGCCACTAGTAATTTGTTCCCTAATAAGTCTCCATTTACCTTCATTCAAGGACTGGAAGACCAAAGTTATAAAAATAGTAACCAGTAAAATTCCAGGACCTCAATACTAATCACTATTTACTCCCATCCACATCCTCCCATTTGACCTGACATTCAGGTGGATATATTTGTTCCTTTAGTTCTTGCCCTAATACAAGGTAAATGCTCAGAGTAAACTGCCAGGTATCCACTAAACCAACCAGTATCAGGTCCCTGCCTAAGACAATGAGGGCATCCTTCAAAGGGGGAGGTGGGAGGGCCAAGGACATCCCTTATAACAGCCCTCCCCATTGTCCATCTCCCTCTAGCACAAACATCAATTGAGCTGGTTTGGGGGAAAGAATAAAATATCAAAGTCTTCTGAATCAGCACACCATTCAGCCCAAACAAAAAAGAATGACATAGAGCCTTTATTAAACTGGTTCTGAGGTATGTGGGACTAGCCTGGCTGGTTGACCAGGCTTCTTGAGCCCCACAGGCAACAAGACCATGTACAAAAGGGGGATAATATACCCATGTGGGAAGCCAAGTTTCCATGTTGATGGTAAATGGAAAAACTTTGAGTCAGAGCTGAGCTCTGGGACAAAAAGGGAAAAGAGGAGGGATGAAGGGAAGGGGCTCAGTTCTTCTTGACTGATTCTAAAGCTCATAGTGGGATTCCATCTCACAGCTAGCCCTCTATACTAAGGAACCATACGAATCTTGAACCCCCAGGGAACCTAGACCTGGGAAGGCTGAACTTGCTATTTGAGGGTCAAGTCTACTCCCTGGAGGTAGAGTACTGGATATTTTGATGGGGACAAGGAGGGTGCAAGTGTAGAGAACCAACGTCTCAAGTCCTACTGACTGATACTAGTCCAAATAGATCAAGCTCAGCAAAGGCTGGTAAGCCTGGGTAAGGTTCCACAGGGATGGATCTTCCTAAGGGCGGGGGGAGCGGGAGGCGCTTTCCAGTTCCTAGAAAATGGCGGTGCGTGCAGACTGCCTCCCTCCTCTTCATTGTAGCTTGATCCTGGGCAGTGACCGTTCCTATAAAAGAAAAAAAAAAATCAGAAGAAACTTGATACATATGAAGACAAAACACAGCAGAGAAACAAGACAAAGTTAAAATCACAAAATGTAATTGGCAGCACATCTGTTTTCAAAAGATATTTACATAATTACTCCCATTCTCACAAGAATTCTGGATTAGGGCATTATGATTGTGTCACTTTCCAGTTGAGCGGACATGCCCACAAAGGGTAAGGTGTCTTTCCCATGAGCACACGGCTTAGATGGAAAACTTGGGACTTGGCAAGGGGACCTTCTGACCCCAGATTTGGGTTCCACCCGCCCCAACCCTTCACCAGTCACCATAGGGAGGGAAGGGAGAAATGGGAGCGAGGCGGCAGCGAGCCCAGGAGGAAAATACCCACACAGAAAGAGTCAGGCCTGGGAGGGGCCAGTCCGGGGCACAAATGCTGGAGGTTTCATAGATGGGCTGGCACTGGAGAAGGCAGGTCTGTCAGTGACGCACTTGTCCTGTGGGTCCTGGGCTCTTTCATGGCACGCAGGGCACTCTCCTTCCTGGGATGGGAGAATGGAATTCTTCTTCCATGAGAGAGAAAATACGGAGGTGAAGAAGAGCAGAATGGGCAAGTACCAGACTGCAGCTGCAGCCAAGCCAGGGAAGAGGCTCACGAAGGTCCTCGGCGGCTCCCGCAGGACATTCCCTCCCCAGCTGGTTGGGAAGCTCCACACCTAGGCGAGGACGGGCAGCAGCAGCCCGGGGCAGGCTTCCGTGGAAACTTCCAAAACCACCTTGCCAGGTAAGTGAAAGTGCGCTCCGTTCTCTATCCACATCCTGGGCCAAGGAGGTTCTTCTTCATTCTTTCAGCAGTTCTGATCTTCTTGGGGAGCACCCCTAAATCAGCCTGTCAAGGAGGAAGTCAGGCTACAGGCATCTTGCAGGAACAGATAAAGGCCATGAAATAACTGCCAACTGTCTTCTGCTCGGGCAGTTATACCGTTAGCCACTCCCATTACCCCACCTTCCCGGCAGGCCTCCTCCAATCAGAGGCCGTGCCCCACCCAGGGAGGAGCCTTGGGCTTTCCTGAAAGTTCCACAGCCTCTGATTGGTCCCAGACCAGCCTTCCTGGGCAGGGGTGGGGGCAGGGAACTCCTAGAGTCCATGCAGTATGCAGAGGGCGGGCTTGGTGGAAAGTCGTTGATGATGAGCACTGCCTGTTGGGGCTATGGGAGACGAGGCCTTCCAGAATTTAGGTTGGCCATGTCCTGGCTTCTGAGGGGGACAGGCCCGACAGAGTTTGGGCTATGCTGGTACTGTCTCCTGCTCTCTGTTTACCAGGTTATTGAACCCTGGGTGCCTGTGACCTTGGAGTCTTTATTTTACCCCAGTGGAAAGTACCACCCAGAAGGCACTTGTTTTGAGGCCTCGCAAGAGTTAAGAGTAAGACTGCAAATAGACCCCCCCCAGTGCCATCCTCTTACCTTTTCCCACCAACCAAAGGCCTGGCACTAGAGAGAAATGCTTGAACAGACTCAGCTCCTAGGGACCCGGAGTCCTAACTGGAGGGTTTGCTAAAACCGGCTTATCTGCAGCGCCTGGAAAACCCAGGCTCTGCTTCAAAGCCTCAGCCTCAAGGGTCCGGCCAACGGGAGAAAGTTGCTGAGCAGATAAGAACGCTCTCGGCCAATGAGAAGAGAATGCCTTAAAGGCCAACTGGGGGATGCCCATATATTTATATTTATTGGGCAAGTGTTTTGAAAGACCTTGTCATGAAAAGTTCAAATGTACCATTATATTTGAGCCTCCCATATCCCTTTTTTAAAAATTGATATAAAATTAATGTAGCATAGAATTAACAGTATTAAGTGTACAATTTAGTGGCTTTCAGTTCATTCATAAAATTGTGCAATCATTATCACTAACTCTCTTCCAGAATATTTTTATCACACTCAAGCTCCATACACACTGATATGGTTTAAATCTGTGTCCTACCCAAATCTCATGTCAAATAATTCTCTCCAATGTTGGAGGTGAGGCCTAGTGGGAGGTGATTGGATCATAGGGGTGATTCCTCATGGTTTAATACCATCCTCTTTGATGCTGTCATGGCAATAATGAATTTTCCTGATATCTGGTTGTTTAAAAGTGTGTAGCACCTCCCTGCTCCCTCTCTTTCTCCTGCTCTGGACGTATGAAGTGCTGCTTTCTCTCCCTTTGCCTTCTACCATGACTGGAAGTGTCCTGAGGCCTCCCCCGGAAGCAGAAGCTGCTATGTATGCTTCCTGTACAGCCTGTGGAACTGTGAGCCAATTAAACCTTTCTTTTGTTGGTTTGTTTTTGAAACAAGGTCTCATTCTGTCACCCAGGCTGGAGTGCAGCAGAAACTTCTTTTCTTTATAAATCATCCAGTCTCAAGTGTTTCTTTATAGCAGTGATAGAACAGACTAACACATTCATTAAGCAGCCACTCCCCATTCTGCCCTCCCTTCATCCTCTAATTGGCTTTCTGTTTCAATGGATTTGCCTGTTCTGGACATTTCATATAAATGGAGTCATACCATAGATAACCTTTTGTGTTTGGCTTCTTTCAATTAGCATAATGTTTTCAAGGTTCATGCGTATCACAGCTTGTGCCAGTACTTCATTATTGGTTAAGGCTTATATTCCACTGCATGGATATACAATATATTGTGTATCCAGTTGATGGACATTTGGATTGTTTCTACTTTTTGACTGTTAGAAATAAATCTGCTGTGGACATTGTGTACACCTGTTTTTGTCTGGACATGTTTCCAGTTCTGTTGGATATGTACCTAGGAGTAGAATTGCTGGGTCATGTGGTAATCCTATATTTAGGTTTTTGAGGAACTGCCAAAATGCTTCCCACAGTGGCTGAACCATTTTGTGTTTCTACCAGCAATATATAAGGGTTCTGATCTCTCCACATCCTTGTCAACACTTGTTTTCTTTTTGCTGTGATTGTTAAATTATAGCTATCCTAGTAGGTGTGAAGTGTTATCTCATTATGATTTTGATTTACATTTCCCTAATTACTAAAGATTCTGAATATCCTCTTATGTATTTATTGGCTGTATTTTCTTGGTATGTCTTTTAAGAGAAATATCTATTCTAGTCCTTTGACAACTGAAAAAAATTGATTTCTGTATCTTTTTGGTTTGTTATTGAATTTTGGTTTGTTGTTGAATTTTAAGAGTTATTTATATATTCACAGTCCTAGACCTGGCTTTGTCTGTTTGTGATGCTGTAACAAAGTGTCATAGACTGGATGGCTTAGAAACAACAGAAATTTATTTCTCACAATTTTGGAGACTGGGAAATTAAAGATCAAGGTGCCAGTAGATTCAGTGTCTAGTGAAGGCCTACTTCCTGGTTCATACATGGCCATCTTGCAATGTGTCTTATATACTTTATTAAAGTATATATTTGCGTTATGTGGTGGAAGTAACAAGGGAGTTCTCTCAAGCCTCTTTTATAAGGCTACTAATGCCATTCATGAGGGCTCTGCCTCGTGAATTTGGGGGAAGTATTTAGTTCATAGGAAGTTTCTCACAGGGTATATAATTAACAAATAATTTCCCTCAGTTTGTTGGTTATTTTTCCACTTTCTCGATAGTGTTCAATGCACAAAAGTTTTCAATTTTGATGAAGCCCAATTTATTTTTCCTTTTGTTGCTTGTGTTTTTGGTATCCTATCTAAGGCTCTATTGCGAAATCCAATATTACGAAGATTTGTCGTTTTTAATAAGAGTTATAGTTTTAGCACTTACGTTTGGTCTTTTATGATTTTTAACTAACTTTTGTACATGTTGTGAGTGGAGGTCCAAATTGATTCTTTTACATGTGCTTATCGAGCTGTCTCCCAGCTGAATGATCTTGAGACCCTTGGAGAAAAATCAATTAACCATAAGTATATGAGTTTATTTCTGGACCCTAAATTTGATTCCATTGAGCTATGTGTCTATGCTTGTGTGTATTCATAAGTCAGTTGGTAGTTCGTGTCTTCCTAGGAATTTGTCTATTTCATTTAGGTTATCTAATTTGTTGGTGTATAATTGCTCATATGGTTTCTTTATAACCCCATTTATTTCTGTAAGGTCAATGTAATGTCCTCTCTTTCATTACCGATTTTAGTAATTGGAGTCCTCTTTTTTCTCTTGGTAAGTCTAAAGTTTTGATTTTGTTAATTTTGTTTATTTTTTTTTAAAGAACCAATTTTTGTGCTTGTTCATTTTCTCTATTGTTTTTCTTTTCTCTATGCCATTTATGTACACTTTACTCTTTATTATTTCCTTTATTATGTGTGCTTTGAATTTAGCTTTTTCTTTTTTCTAGTTTATTATATACTTAGGTTATTGATTTGAGATATTTATTCTTTTTTAATGCGGATGTTTGCAATGAAAAATTTTCATCTAAATACTGCTTTTGTTGTATCCATACATTTTGGTATGCTTTGGTTTTGTTTTCATTTATATCAGAGAATTTTCAAGTGTCTCTTCTGATTTATTATTTGAGCCATTGGATTGGTTAAGAATTTGATTTCTACACATTTGTGACTTTCCAAATTTCTTCTCGTTATTGATTTCTAATTTTATTCCATTGTGATTGAAGAAGATACTTTTTATAATTTTATTTTTTATACTTACTGAGACTTCTTTTGTTGCCAAACTTATGGTCTGTACTGGACAATGTTCCATGTGGATTTCAGAGGAACATATACCGTTCAATTGAGTGTTTTATAGATGTCTATTAGGTCCAGTTATTTTATAGTGTTGCTCAAGCCTTCTGTTTCATTGATCATCTCCTGTCTAGTTATTCTAGCCATTATTAAAATGATATACTGAGGTATCCAAGTATTATTGTTGAATTGTCTATTTCTCCCTTCAACTTAGCAGTTGTTATTTCATATATGTGGGGGTTCTGTTGTTAGGTACATATAATGTATAGTTGTTATATCTTCTTTCTTGTACTTTTTAGGGGAACACTATATATTTTTGAATTTAGTTTCATTCCTCCATGTTTAGAGATACAGTGTTTATAGCCATATATTGTCCTCTGATTACTGTTTTAAATATATTTTACAGATAGGATATTTAGTGGTTTAAGTATCTTTTTTTTTCAGAATACTTTAATTCTTGTTTGTGTCTTAATTATCACTCAATTGTTTAACAATAGATTGTTTTAAAGTTCCAATTGGAAGGGCATCTTTTAAAATATTTTTTAATGTAAAAATCTTTTCTTACCAGTTTTAATGAGATATAATTGGCATACAATAAACTTCATATATTCAAGATGTACAATTTGATTAATTCTGACATTTATAAAAACCAATGAAATCATCATGATGATCAAGATAATGAACATACCAAAAAAACTTTGTGTCCCTTTGTAATCTAGTTCTTAACCTCGTTCCCCACAAGCAGCCACTTACCTGCTTTGTCACTGTGGTTAGTGTGCACTTCATAGAATTTAATATAAATGGAATCATACAGTATGTACTCAATTTTCTTATTAATAATTTCACTCAGCATTGTTTTGAGATTGTTTTGAGATTAAAACATGAGTTTTAGTGTTAATTTCTTTTTATTGTTGAATCAAATTCTATCATATGGATATACAATAATTAGTTTATCTAGTCACCTGATAATGACATTTGTGTTGTTTCCAGTTCTTAGCTAATACAAATAAAGCTGCTAGGAAACTTGGAGGACATTTGTGTGAATATATACTTTTATTCCCTTGGATAAATATTTAGGAGTTGAATGACTCTATCATGTGATAAGTGTATGTTTAGCTACCAGCCAGGTGCAGTGGTGCACTATTGTAATCTCAGCTACCCAAGGTACTGAAGAGGATCCCCTTGAGCCCAGGAGTTTGAGGCCAGCTTGAGTACCATAGCGGGACCCCTATCTCAACAAAAAAAAAAAAAAAAAAAAAAAGAAAAGAAACTACCAAACTGTTTTCCAAAGTGATTGTACACTTTAATTCTCAAGAGCAATATGTGGAAGTTTTTAGTTCCTCCCAATCCTTACCAATATTTGACAAAGTTAGTTTTTTAAATTTTAGTCATTCTAAAATGTGTGTAGTGATATCTCATTGTGATTTTAGTTTGCGTTTTTCTAATGACTATGAATGTTGAGTGTTTTTTCATGTGCTTATTGCTATCTGTACTACAATTTCTCTGGTAAACTATGTATTCAAATCTTTTGCCCATTTTCTTATTAGTTTGTATTGCTTTTTACTTACTGAGTTTTGAAAGTTTTTATATGTGTTACAAACAAGTCTTTTGTTAGATATATGTATTTTGCAAATATTTTCTCCTAGCCTTTAGCTTGTATTCTCATTCTCTTAAGAGACAAAGAAGATTATTATATGATAAAAGAGTCAATCCACAAGGAATATTATAACAATTATAAATATATATGCACCCAACATTAGAGCACCTAAATATATAAAGCAAACATTGACAGAACTAAAGGGAGAAATAAATAGCAATACAATAATAGTAGAAGACTCCAACACCCCACTTTCAATAGTACACACAACATCCAGACAGAAGATTAGTAAGGAAACAGAGA